TCAATAAGCTTTAAATTCTAATGAATATTTAACACTTGAACATTTTAAATATCCAAAATAAATAAAACAAGTAAAATAAATTATGACGTCTCTGTAAACAAAGTTATCCTTCAAAGCAGCAGACTGAAGACGTTACTATAAAAACAATAAATCATCCAAATGCAACTTATTGAGCTTGTTACAACTAATTGTATCATGTAATTAATTGATTTGTTGCAGTAAACACACTTTTTACAAGAAACACAGAATAAAGATCGATAAACCTGCAGGGTCTAAGGGAAAGTTGCTGCTATATAATTAGGAGATGATGCAGACTTTTCCCTGTCATGGTTTCACTGTAAAGGTCAAGTCCTGGTTTAAAATGAAACCTGGAGCCTCTCTGGATTCTTACACCACACGTTATTCCCAGCAGAGTAAGAGATGATTTCATATGGCAGTTATTAAATGAAAGAGCTGGTTCTGGTATGGCTCTTTCCCCAAGGCGCATCTCTGTCACGGGGTGGCACAACGTTCAAACCAAAAATAAGAGCTGCCAATCGTTGCAAAAAAATAGCTTTATTTTTAATTTTTTTAAATACTCTGCAATGACTTTTAATCATCTAAAGCTTCAGATTTAGATTATTCCTGCTCTGTTTGTGAAAACAGAACAGGAATAATCTAAATCTAAACAGAAATTAAGACAACCTTAAATTGAGGCAAGAAGAGCAAGCTACAGAAAGACAGAAACCTGGAGAACATATTAGCAACAATTTAAAATGATTTACATAATGCAAACATAAGAAGCCCACTGCTCTGGCATAATAAAGGAAAATGATGAAAAATTGAACTTAAGGTCACAATTAATTATCTAATTGTTATCAATCAAAAGAAGATGTAACGAGGTAAAGGAACTTTAGAGGAACTCAGTGTTTCTGCAGCTTGGGTGGATTTCTCTAATCTTGATGCAACATTAGTCCTTTAACCCTGGAAATGTTTTTCAGGCGACAGAAGACTGACTTTGTAACTGTATTTATGTGGCTCTGCAGGTTCAAACCCAGATTTCGGACCTGATTTCTAGTTCCTAGCTGTAATAGCTGAAGCTAAACAGAAACAACGTTGATTCAGTGGCCAACTGACAAAGGTGTGGTGGGTGTCCACCATCTTTGTTTATCCACTTTGTTGGTGTCCAAACAAACTGGAGCAGGGTTGGTTGGACCAGAACCTGGAGGGTTGGACCAGAACCTGGAGGGTTGGACCAGAACCTGGAGGGTTGGACCAGAACAGCTTCATCTTATGAAGGACTGTTGTAAAAGAGACAGAAAATCATTTCAAGTTTCACTTCAGTGCTGATCAGTTAGAAAGAAAAGATCAAGTTGAGCCTCATTTGTCAAAAACAAATCAAAGAAATTGTTTTATTGATCATTTCTGGAGGATGATGGGGAAATCACAGCTAAATCACAAAAGTAGGTCAGATAAAATGAAAACATCCTGAGTCTGACCCAGAGAGAAATCAGTAAACAAGTTTTTTTAAATCTCCCTCTGACGTTCTGCTGCAGGGGAACGTTTCAGGATGAGATCCATCCACCTTTAATCTCTGGATTTAGAAAGTGAAATGTCATAACTGGGATTAAGACGAAGCCACAGGTCGGTGCTCGTGTTTTAGAGTGATGCTGAGCACGTGCAAGCATGTGTGCGCGCATGTGTGTGTGTGTGTGTGTGTGTGTGTGTGTGTGTGTGTGTGTGTGTGTGTGTGTGTAGGGGAAAAAAGGGGATCAGCGGTGGTCAACAACAGCTCTTTTCATAGCTGTCAGCGTATCCGGGTCAGCTGTGCAGGAGATTCTCAAAGTCCTGCAGCTGTTGGAGAAAATGAGGACGGAGGCACTTGTGTGTGTGTGTGTGTAGGTGTGTGTGTGTGTGTTCTGATAATCACAGTGTCATGGGAACAGAAAAGGCCGGTCCCCATGAAGAAATCTAGCTTCAAATGACTGTAAGTGATTTAAAAGGTTCTGACGTTTCAGGCATTGGGTCGTATCACATGTGTTACTGTTGGTGCTGATAACGCCCCCATCGCTTCTGATCGTGCACCTAACACGATTTCCCAAACATGGTTGGATACCACTTCTTCCTCATCTCCAACAAGGAAGACGTTGATAAGAACATGAAAAGTTTAGTGTTAAAAGATAAAAAGCTAAGATCATATTGTGACTTTTTTATATATATTTTTGGAGTTTTTTGGGTAATATGAGTTTATTCTCGTGTTATAATGTTTTCTCATATTTTTATTACTTAACCCTGGTAATATTAGAGTATATATTATATGTTTTGCTTCTATTATTACAAATTTATCGTGGTAATATTTGTGACTTATTGTCATACAAGTTTATTCTCGTAGTATTATGACTTTATTCTTGTAATAAAATGTCATTTTAATTGTGTTGGAGCCTGGCCATAATACACTGCTGCACTCTTCCTATGAACTCATATAAACATGAGTTTTTCTGCCCAGCCAGCCACTTGTTGTGCTGCACAGTGTGTATACAACCCATCAGTAGTTTCCTGCTCTGTAATCCTGCAGCTACGAACCAGTTAACTACTAACCTCTGGCCCTGCTCCAGCAGGCTTACACCTCACACCTTTAAATGGAAACCCTGCACTCTAATTATAAGGATGTTGTCTATTTCTGGACTGAACAGAAGTGGAAAAAGAATAAAGTTCATCTGAGGAGCAGATCAGGGATTAGAGGCTGGGTTGGACCAGAATTGGCAACCGACAGGGATTTCCTTACAGCATGGCAGAATTATCCTCTGTTCACGTAAACATTTTGTTTATCGTCGTCCAAAAATGATCAATAATTTTGAATGTAACTGCATTTTCACATTATTTCCTGGCTGCTCTGTGTCTCTGCACCGTTCTCTTATCTCCTCGGCACATCACGGCTCCTGGGAGCTTCCCATTTCCGGACGTTTCTTCTCTCTGGGAATTCCTGGAAGGAAGTTTATCTTCTGAAACATTCAAGATATTTACTGACGTGAAAACATCTGAGGCTGCTTTCAGCACCAAAGCTTTTCATTTTTTTCTGCTCCACTCAGGTTGACTTTGACTAGACCACTGCAGCCCTTGGTTTGTGTTGTAGATCTGCTGCTGTGCACAGATTGATACTAACCATGATGCCTCCACCTCCGTGTTCCACTCTGTGTCTGTCTCCCATCATGCTGCTGTGCTTTATGGTCAAACGCCTCAAAAAACATCCCTGAAATATAAGTTTTTGTCCTTACTGGTTTTATTAAATGTTTTAATTCATTTTAAATTTTTTACTTTTTCATTTTGATTTTTCTGATATTAAATGATTTTGGGAATAATCTCCATGAATTTATTTAATGCTTTAATCTTTTATTTTATTCAGTTTGTGTATTTCAGATTTTGTGATTTATCTTTTTATTTTATTTCTGAATTGCATTGTCTTTTATTTTCATTTTTAACTTTTTTATTATTTTGGCTATAATCTATTTTTTCAATATTTATCTTATTCCATTTTTAAATTATGTAATTTTTTACATATATATTTATTGTATTTTTAAACTTTTTTTATCTTTTAAATTATCTTGCAAATAATTAACATTTTAAACATTATTTTTTTATCCATTATCTTTGAATTTTTATTGTATTTTATTTTCATTTTTAAATTATTAGTTTTAAATCTTTTAAATTATCTTGTGATTAATGTTCCTCACTAGAAACTGATGGACTTCAGATGGTTTGGAGATGACCTTTGACCCTGTTGACTGGCAGCAGCAGCGTCTCTGAGGCCATTGCTGCCGTCTTTCCACCCTGACGTTGTGTCCACATCCTACAGATCAGTGAACTACCGGCTCTCCTGCTTTAACACAGAAATGTCTTTACTGAGCGTAAAAACTGGAAGTGCTGGAGTCAGTAATGAGCATCTGTTTGAGGAGAAACCGATCAGTTAATTGATAAATTTATTGTCTCTCCTACCTTGTCTGATCCTCTTATCCCCGGCAGGCGGGCGGCTGCGTGACCCACAACTCGGACGGACTCGGTTGCATAACTGGAGCTGACCTGAGACCAGGTGAGGGAGGCTTAGTCCAGCTGACCTGCAGGAAACCTCGTCATCATTTAATCATACTTTCATCCGCTGCTCTGTGTTTTACATTTCAGACACAACATTTAGATTATTAGTCCGATCTAAACTCTGTCGGCTCTTTCTGAGGTCATTTGTCTAATATTTAATATTTCTGTGGGTCTAAGTCTGTTTACATGTCAGGATGTTCTCTGGGTCCTGCAGCTTCCTCCAAACATCTGTTAGGTTAACTCATGTCTGAAATTAACTGCAGGACTCGGACTAAGGGCTGCCTTCACATACAAAGGTGTATTAAAGACGTCCACAGAAAAAACATTTCAGACAAAAAAAGAGACATTTTCTAGACAAAACAAGGAAATTTCTACATTTGAAAATTTGCAAGAAAAAAATTACATTTTTAGAATAATCACAGAAACTTTCTAGAAAAAAACTTGTGAATTTCTCCAAATCCTCTCCAATTCTCCACCAGAGTTGCTGAGTTTTCTACAGAGCTGAGAAATGATTATTCAGTTTGATAATCATCTGAACAATATATATATATATATATATATATAGCTATATTTATATTATATTTAAATGTTAAATTGAAAAAAGAAATTATAAATTGTTATATATGTGTGGAGCTTTTTTAATGTAAAATACTTAAAAAGTAATAGCCTACATATTTTTTGCATTAACATCCTTTATTTGAAATTTTTTCTTCACTGTCCCTCAAACAGTACATGCTGAAACAACCTTGCAATGTATTTATTTTATTATCCTATTCCCTATTCCAACCTTGTGTGTGTGTGTGTGTGTGTGTGTGTGTGTGTGTGTGTGTGTGTATGTGTGTGTGTGTGTGTGTGTGTGTGTGTGTGTGTGTGTTTTGAAGCTCCTCCTGCTGAAGGAGGAGGGGGAGGGTGACGCGCCGCTCTCCGCCCGCTCTGCGCGCTCAGACCTCGGACTGAAGCGGCTCTCAGCTGCGCTCATTCAGCCTCTGGAGCTCCTGCAGAGCGGACCGCTGCTGCTGGACAGAGCCGGACCGGAACCGGAGGGAGTTCTGGGGGGACTTTTCTGTGGCTCACAGAGAAGATGGAATGCTTTGAAAGGACTCGGTGAAAGTTTGCAGTTCGGTTTGTGATGATGCACCCGAGCCGGCTGAAGCCGCCAGCCGCTGCCGGCTGCCAGTGAAGGGCAGCGGGGGATGACAGCAGCGCCGCAGCCCCTGAACAGTCTCTGCGGAAAAGCCGCAGCTTTCCTGTGATTGCGCACACTGTGCGCCGTCCTCTCACCGCCTCCAGAGCGCAATCAGTTTCTCTATTGCAGCTCAGCTGACTGCGGCAGGAATCGGACCGGAACCTTGAACCTCCACAGACACAGGTGAGCTGAGAGTTTCTGTGTCTCTGAACCAAACAGAACCGCCTCAGTCAGTGAAGATTCTGATCTGTGCAGATTAAAGTTGTTTTGCCACATGATTGTCTGGTAGACTCGGTTAGATTTGGGACCAGTACTGCAACATTTGCTCCACTTTGTGTCAAACCAACCAGGTTGCTCCAACCCTTTGAGCAACCTGTTCCCCTCCTGGCCTGTGGGGGCGCTGCACCAAGAACCACTGAAGGAAACGACACAAAAACCTCCAACGGAGACACTGAAGGCAACTTCCTGTTTCACCAAATAGTAACAAAATTGGAGGCATCAGATTTTAGCGTTTGAAGGATTTCAATGAGACATTTCTCCAGCTAGCGCTAGGCTAGCACATTTGTTTTGGTTGTAATTACCCACAATGCCCAAACATTCTCTTGGTTTGTTCAGTTTTCCTCCATTAAATCCAGTTTTCCAGCAGTTTGAACGCCAAGTCGACCAGAGACCGCTCCAAAAGCAGGAAGTGACCTACAGTCCAGGGAATTCTGGGTAAGTACAACCAAACCAAACTCGCTATTTAGGTTCCAGTGGGAGAAATGACTCATGGTCTTTTACAAAGACAAGACAGAAATCTTCCAACCACTAAAGTCTGACGCCTCCATTTTTGTTTCCGTCTGGTGAAACAGGAAGTTGCTCTGTGTCTTCAGAGGTATTTGTGTTGTTTCCTTCAGCGGCTCTTGTTGCAGCGCCCCCACAGGCCAGGAGGGGAACAGGTTGCTCAAAGGGTTTGGTTGGTTTGACAAGGAGAACTGCAGCAGCTAAAAATGGAACAATTGTTGCAGTTTTCCCAAACAGAACCGAGTCTAAGGAACTATTTAGTGTGAAAACTTCCTAAACCAGAATAAAAACAGATTCTGCTCAGATTTCTAATGATTTCTTCTTCTCTGCCTCCATCAGCTCTCGTCTTCTTCTGTTTGTGATGTCCATTGGACTCTGAGAGACAAACCGCAGTTTGGTGGTCTGACCTGTGGTGCTCCGACCCACCATGGGCACCGTGCTGTCTCTGTCGCCAGGCGCTCGCAAACCCGGTTACTATGACAACCATCCGGGCTCGCTCAGCCACTACCCGAGCCTCAGCAGCCGCTCCTTGAACAGCCAAAAGGAGCGCGGCCTAAGGAGAGGCCAGTCTATCTTCCTGCCGGCGCTGACCTGGAAGCGGCTGGTCGCCTCCACCAAGAAGAAGGGGAACCCAAAGAAGGGGCCCGGGGCCGCCGGGGTCCTGGCCGAGCCCCTGAACAACAACAACATCTACCAGCGGGACCAGGTGCTGCACCTGAACCGGGAGAACGTGAAGAAGTCCCTGTCCTGCGCCAACCTCTCCAGCTACGAGGGCCCGGCCGGACTGGGTCTGGGCTACGGACTGGGCCTGGGTCAGGGCCACGGATATGGCTACGGCAAGCCGCAGCAGCTGTCCTCGGTGAAGAAGGTCCCCCAGGGGGCGTCCTCCCCAAAGCGCGTCATCGTCCAGGCGTCCACCAGCGAGCTGCTGCGCTGTCTGGGGGAGTTTCTGTGCTGCCGCTGCTACCGGCTGAAGCACCTGTCCCCAGCCGACCCGGTGCTGTGGCTGCGCGCCGTCGACCGCTCGCTGCTGCTGCAGGGCTGGCAGGACCAGGCCTTTGTCACGCCCGCCAACGTCGTGTTCGTCTACATGCTGTGCCGGGACGTGGTAGACGGCGACTTGGTGGCGTCGGAGCACGAGCTGCAAGCCATCCTGCTCACCTGCCTCTACCTGTCCTACTCCTACATGGGCAACGAGATCTCGTACCCGCTGAAGCCCTTCCTGGTGGAGGCGGGGAAGGAGGCCTTCTGGGACCGCTGCCTCGCCATCATTGACGCCACCAGCTCCAAGATGCTGCGCATCAACGCCGACCCGCACTTTTTCACGCAGATCTTCGCTGAACTGAAGAGCGAAGGCGGCTGCGGGCCTCAGGATTACAGCCGGGTTCTGGACCGGTGAGAGGAGGCTTCATCTAAAACGCTCCATCCCCCAAAGTCCCGGTTGCTTCTCTGCATCGCCAAGCGGAACTATTATGCAAAATTCACATTTTTCACCTCTTGGAGCCTGCATTTGGGTCTCAACTGCTTCTAAAAACAGCAAACAACAAGTTACAGTTTTTTGGTATCTGGAAAATGAGCTGTTTCAAAAACCTCCAGAATGTAAAGCCCGCCCTGTTTCCTAGCAACACCTGCAAAGCCCAGCACATTACCTAGCAACCCCTGTGGAATTCCACCCGTTACCTAGCAACCTAGTGCGTTTGGTCTGCTGATTTACCGCTTTATGCACTGTACAATGGCTGCTGGAAAAGATAAGTGTTTCCTTCTTGACTTACACTGCAAAAACACAAAATTTTACCAGGTAATTTTGGTCCAATTTCGCAAATATCACTTGAAATAAGGCAAAACTAACTTACAAGTAACTTTTAAGCAAGACGTCTTAGTTTGTTTTAAGTAAGTAATTCCATAATTTTAAGTAAAAAGTACTAGTTCCACTAGAAAAATGTTTTAAATTATCTGCCAGTGGATTAGAACTTTCATCACTATCAAGGAATTATTGACTTAAAACATGATTCTGTATCTTCTTTGAAAGTTAGTTTTGTCTTACTTTAATTTACACAAGAAACTAGACAATAAATACTTGGTAAAATTTTGTGTTTTGGCAGTGTACCATCCAGAAGCCACTTGCTGGATTCTTGTTGTACAGGAGGCTCCACTTATGCTTTTCAAAGATGTAGGGTTGTATCTGCACATCTGTTTGTTGCCATATTTACATGCGAGTGTAAAACGATGAGCTGGGGGGGCGTGGCCAGCAGCAGCTTATTAGGATTTAAAGTGACAGAGACCCTAAAACAGCTCAAATCAGCCAGAACTGACATCCCATTATCTAAGAATAATTTGTGAAAAAAGCATTTTAGGATCTGCTCATGGAAGCATAATGGGTCATCTTTAAACATCTAATGGTGACCGAGTGGCTTTAACGGGTTTATTTAGAGAAAAGGTCCTGGTTTGGGAAAAGGGACGGACGGGAGCAGCTGGAGGTTCTGCAGCGGGCGGAGTCAGAGTGGCGCTGCCGATCCGTGTCGGCATTGTTGGAGTGGAAGGCAGTCAGGATCATCAGCTGTTTACTCCACACACACACACACACACACACACACACACACACACACACACACACACACACACACACACACACACGAGTCGTGGTAATAAGATTACCAGATTACTGCAGCCCCTCCCAGCATCCCTGCGGAGCCTCAGTGGGTAATCCGGACCCGACCGAACCGAGCCGAGCCGGTTGCATGTCGTTCTGATCCAGAGGCGCTGAAAGCTTCCACAGAGCATCCATGCAGGGATGACAGATGAGCTCGGTTCTGGTTTGCAGTTCGGCCCATTTTCCCGTCGCTCTCCTGACCTTTCAGAGGAAAATCTGCAGATTTCTGTCTCATCCCTCGTTTAACTCCTGAGAAACCAAACTGGTTCTGTTCGGCCAGAGCCACAAACATGCAGCGTTCTGGGTTTTCTTCAGTGCTGGAAGGTTTAGTTTCATCCTGCAAGTTTAGACACATAAAAACTATAAACAGGAGTGAAAACTGAACACGAGGCTCGTAAATCTGGATTTTTACGTCAGAACTTTCCTGGTTGGTTTCATTGGGTCGGGAAAATTAAATTTTCTAACGTAGAAGAAACAATGAAGCCATTTTTCTGGTCCCGGTGTTCCTCCATCAAACGCAGAGATGCATTGTCTGCTGCAGGCTGTAAAAACTTAAATCCCCTGTAGACCAAAACTGCCAAAAAATATATTAAATGAAAAACACAAAAATGTAGTTTTTGTTTTACCTGCTCAACATTAAACCAGTTTTTAAAATAAAATCCACACAAAATTAGAGATCCAGAACATAGAACAGGGCTTCCAACTGTAAAAGAAAAATACACAATTTCAAAATTTTGGGGGTCTTCAATTGTTTTTAATTTTGTTGGCCAAATTTATTACATTCTTGAGTTTTGGTCACCGGCCAAACAAAATCATTTCTAGGGGCCCAAATGGCCCCCGGGCCACACTTTGGACACCCTGATCTAATGGTTTTCTAAAATTGGCCTTCAACTTTTCTGCATCAAAAATGAAAACTGCGAAGTTTGAGGCAAGGTTTTTTTTTTAAATATGAGAAGAAAGTCAATCATACAATAATAAATGAAAAATAATGAGAATAAAGTGGCAAAAATACAAGTGAAGTTGAAATACTGAGAATGGTCGTAATGACACGAGAAAAGGAAGTCGAGATAATATATAAAAAATTTTTACATTAAGGGAACAATAGCTGAATGTCTATTATAAATGTAGCTAATCGCAGACAGTGGTGTGGCATTTCCATTAAACAAGAAATTAAATTAAAAATCAATAAGTCATTAAAAACACCGTCTTCCTCCAACCACTTCCTGTCGGCGTCTTTGTGGTTTGGGTGAAAAATTTTTCCATTGCAGTTTTGTGAAAAAAAAAAAAAATTGATGCGACCAAATTAAATGCCTCGTCTTGGTGGCAACACTTCTTAATTGAAAAAACAATTTTTTTAAACTGTCTTGTTTCCATTAAGCAAATTTATTTTCAAATGTCAAACTGTGTAATTATAAAGTCAATGGAAACGCAGCTACAGAGACAATGAAGTCCAACCGCTCTGCTGTAATCCCGTCATAATCCTACCATCAATCTGATGAGGAAGGAAGTAAAACAGTTTGATTGTTTCGTTCTAAACTGGTTGTTTATGCTGCTAACTGGGACCTGAACTGGCTCCCAGTCTGAGGAGTTTTTTCCGCTGCAGCCATTTTCTCCTCCATGTTGTTTTTTCCCTTCATCTCCGGCTTTGATAAGGAGACCAGTGTCTTGCCTCCACACACACACACACACACACACACACACACATGCTGGGTTGTTATTTGATTAGATTTGACACTCTGCACCCGGCAGCCATTGTCAGGACGAGGAGGAAGGGCAGGCCCGTCTCTCCTCCTCTTCCTCACAGCCAGCTCAGGTGTGGCGCTGCGGTTCTGGATCCACTTAGCTCTTATGTCAGCCGGAGCGCTAATTCCCCCTCATCCAATCAAAGCTCTCTAATCCCGACTGCAAACAGAGGCGGAACGGCCGCCGTCGCTCTGGCGATTGGATCCTCGTGTTTCCGGGTTAAACTTGACATTTTGACCAGGCGGGCGTCTCAGGATCCGGAGCCGGACCGGAGCCGAACCGGAGCCGGACCGGAACCGGACCGGAGCCAAACCGGAGTCGGACCGGAACCAGACCGGAGCCAAACCGGAGTCGGACCGGAGCCGGACCAGAACCGGACCGGAGCCAAACCGGAGTCGGACCGGAACCGGACCGGAGCCAAACCGGAGTCGGACCGGACTCGCGCTCCTGTTTGGACACAACAAAGAGACAATGTGAAATAAATCAGTTTTCCTGATGGTAATCAACAAGTTCTGGACTCTAACTGCAAAAACACAACATTACCAAGTATTTCATCTAGTTTTTACTGCAAATATCGTAGCACACTTGAAATAAGACAAAACTAACTTACAAGTACATTTTGTACAACAGTGTATTAGAAAAGAGAAGAGGAGTTAATATCCACCAAAAACCTCAAACATTTTATAGACAAAACATAAAATTCTAATTTTCAAGAAAAAAACCTGAAAAGATTTTGAGCTTGAAAATTAAAAAAATGTTCAACTTTTGGAAATTTTCTGAGCTCCAAAATGTAGAATCTTTTCACTTTTCAAGTTCAGAAAGTTTTCTTTTTTTTTTTTTTTATAAAAATTTCAGAGATTTTTTTTGAAAAGTTTATGAACTCAGAATTTTCCGCAGTATTTTTTCTCAAAAATTTCTGAGAATAATCTCAAAATTTTAGTTTTTTCTATCAAATTCGAGACTTTTCAACCTCAGAAATTTTCTTCTTTTTCTTAGAAATTTCTGAGATATATCTAGTTTTTTTTGTTATCTAAGAAAAATTGAGGTTAATTAGCAGAAACCTCACCCTCATTTTTTTATTTGCTAATTTTTGTATCTATAATGGCCCTAAGATGCCGCCGTACTTTTCAGACCAACAGAAGTGCCGATTATTTCACTTATTAAAAGACATTTTTCCTGATTTAAATGAAAAACTGTCGGTGGAACTAGTGCTATTTTTCAATCAGTATTGAGTTATGGACTTAAAATATGCTCCTGTCTTTGCTGAAAATGTACTTGTTAGTTTTGTCTCCTTTCCAGTCTAATGCGACATTTGAACTTGAAACTAGACAAGTGGTTAGATTTAGTGTTTTTGCAGTGTTTGGTGATGATAATTCCTGCTAATGTCTCCACAGCTCTGTGAGTTGTGTTATTGCTGCTGCTGCTGTAGATCAGTGTGAAGTTTTAATGGCACACCTTGGAGTGTAAATATGAAGAGCAGAGGCGTTAGGAGCGAATAAGAATAAAGTGATGGTGTTCCTGTGGTAGAGGGAACGCCTGCTGGCTAGTTTAGAGCTTTTTTACTTTCTGCTTTTCGCTGAATTGTTTTTTTAAATGTGACGTTTTATTTCTACATGAAGAAAAACAGGTCATAGTAAATTATTTCCAGACCTTTTCTTGTCTTTAATACGACAGCCTGTTAGGGTCATTGTACATAGAAACAAAGAAAGATCTCAGAATTTTCCCCCCAAAATTTGGGAAGTTCAACATTTTAGACTTTTGAAAATTTTCATTACATTTTAAAAATTTGCAGGGATCAATCTCAAAATTTCTGAGATTTTTCTTGCAAATTTCAAATTTTTCAAACTGAAAAACCCTTGTTTTCTTGAAGATTTCTGAGACTAATCTCAAAATTTTAAATTTTTTTTCTAACAAATTTTCAAATTCAGAAATGACCTTGTCTCTAGAAAATTTCTGAGTCTTTAACCAGCAAATTTTCAGCCTTTCAAACTTAGAAATTTCCAGGGGTTTTTTCTAAAATATGTCGGATTGTTTTGGCAAACACACACACACACACACACACACACACACACGCACGCACACACACACACACACACACATTTATTCATTTATTTATTTTTATCTATGACCCCAATACGTCGTCGTACTTTAATGAGACGTTAGTCTGTCACAAACAAATTTGTTACGATGTTATAAACCAATCGGTTGCAGAGTTTTTACATCCTACATTATTTATTTTAGTCATAATTTGCAGGATTAATGTCCCATTAAAGGTGAAAAGAGGTCTGAGCTGCTTTATTTTGCCTTTTAACAGCAATTTTTATTTCCGTTGCAAAGGAAACATTATGCTGAAGGTGTTAAAATCCCAAACTATGTGACTGCTGAGTGAAAAAAAAATGTCATTCTGGTTTTTATAGAAATATTAGAGACACAGGAATCTCGTTTACTTGAGTTTGGCTTGTGAATTCCTCTCAGCTCAGTTTCTGGTGTCTCTTTGCCAAATTGGAGGTTCGTCCTCCCGCGTAGCTGCAGGAATCTCTCCTCCTCAGAGAGATGGAGGCCATCAGTAACGTCTCTCATCAAAGCGCAGCTGCCGGTGACACAAAGCCGGCCGTTGTGCGGCAGCGACAGTCGCGGCGCTGCTCCGTCTCTGATGCAACAGCTCCGTGACAAGACCTGCTCTGTGCAGGGCGACTGATGGAGCGTCCAGCCTCCGCCTGGAGCCAGGTGTGTCTCTGTGAAAGTGAAAATACTGCTGATGGGAAAAACTTGAAGAAAACTGTTTAATTTTTTCATGTTTTTGTTTCCTTTCTTCATGACATTGTTGTTTATTATGTTGGTTATTTAATAAAGTGTTGAGCTGAAATGTAAAAGCAGCCGTTTGTCTTTCCTGCTCACCTCCTTCAAGATTTCTGGGGCATAAGTTGGGTGTAAACATCAGGAAAACACCAGATAGTCACTCTGTGCTTAAAATGCTGCATGAAAGTATTTACACCCTTTGCACTTTTTCATATTTCATCATGTAAAGCATCACACGTTTGGACAGCATGCGATGGCCTATGACACATGTGATAGACCAGTAAAAAAGAGGAATATAATTTATGGTTATCAACTGTTTTTTATAGATCGAAATCTGAACAGTGCAGTATCCAGTTCCTATTGAAATGAATCAGTTCTTTTTAAACTGGCTGAACTAGTTCTTGCTTAGAATTAACTGGACCAGAACTACCTAGTTCTGGTCCAGTTCCAGAAAATTACCCAGTAAAACATTAACAGCAATAACTTGGCTTATTTAACGTGTTAAAAGAGGGAAAACTTTAGTTCATTTAATTCACTCATTTATAAATGTCACAGTTTCAAGTAAATATTTAATTTGGAGCTAAATATTTAGCTTCAAACTTAACATTTAGATTGCCAATTAAATATTTATTTTTAATTTTAATATTTTGCTTACTAATTAGACATTTGGTTTGAGACTGTGACATTTATGCATGAATAACGTGTAAAGACCAGACAGACCTTTCTGGACTGAGATCCAGTCCGGATCCCCATGCTAACATTAGGCGATGCTAGCTGGGTGAGCTAACAAACGGAGGCAAACAGCCACAAAAAAACGGAAAAAACTGATTCAGCACATACTGTGCATAGCTTGCAAATTTAAAGTGTACCGCTAATATTGGCTAAATTTCTTTTTGTGAGGACGAGGAATATCATTTCGATTGCTACATTAGCTTGCTAACTTTGCTAACATCACTTACCTTAGTGACGCAGAAGTGTGACGTAGCCACCGCCATCTCTGAAAGCAAAATCTACTCGTCTCTACTGACCTATTTTGCGTCTCCCAAATAATCACTGCTCACTTTCTTGGAAACAGTTAATTTAACATCCAATCAAAGTTCAAACAAATTGGAGAATATTCTGGCAATTTCGTGATATTTCCACAGTTTTCTTTACTGACTCAAGACTCCTCAAAGTCCGAGACTGAGACAAGATTGAGGAAATCTTTTCCTCAAACTTTTCCATTATTTCGCTAATGTCAAAAAATATTTTGCAGTTGCATTGCTTTCATTAAATAATAAACACAATTAAAATAAAATCACACGAATAAGTTTGTTAATGTCATAAATCATTATAAAATACACAGACATCATCCTCCAACTACTTCCTGTCGTTTTCCTCTTTGTTTTGCCCAAGTGGCAACAGCCGGTTGTTTATTATGTGACTCCTGATGCAAAATAAGTTTTTCCTTTGCAGTTTTACCAAATAAACTCACCCAAGTGGCAAAACGTTATAAACACTACAGGCGTGTTTCCTTCAAGTTAATTTATTTTTAAAATGTCAAATTGCTCAATGATGGTTAATGGAAACACAACTGGAGATTTCTCAACTACAAAGCTCATCGTAATAAAACTGCATGATTCTGAAACCCAGAGCTCCAGATTTATTCCCCTGGTATTTGTCTCGTTTTGCAGGTTCTGTTCATTTTCCAGATTAAAGATGTCTCATTCCTGATGACTCCTGGGTGTTTTCATGCAGCCGGTCCAACATGGCGGCTTTGGTTTTCCTGATTAATAAGCATTCCTGCTGCTGGAGCGAGTCAGAGGAAAAAGCAATCTCTTCCTCATGTTACTGTAATCTCCAGCATGTGACCTCCCCTCAGCCTGATGACGGAAGGATGCTGGAAACCTGCGGGTCTCACCAAACCTGCCCTGCTCCACGCTGAGAGGATTTAGGGAGGAAAAAAACCACAAGAGCTCTGGGAAACATTACATTCCCGGGTAAATCCTCTCCAACTCGTTACCAAATCCTGGCTGCAGGGCGGCTAATCTCTAAAGTGAGACAGACCAGGTGCCAGTTTTTGTGTAATGGAATTGCTCAGAACATTAAGTGATTGCATCAACAATCTTCAGTCCTGATAAATTAGATTAGACTCAGAGGAATCCTGTTTGTGCACAAGCAAAGTTGAGCAAACAGACAGAAAAAAGGAGGAAATTTCCACCAAAAAATTTCAGAAATTTTGACATTAATCTTAGAAAATTTCCTAGAAAAAAACAAGGTTATTTCTGAATATGAAAAGATAAACATCTTCTAGAAAATAAATTGTCCCTAATCTCAAAATTTCTAAAAACATCTTGGAAATTTCAGAGTTAAAAAACTTGAAAATTTGCTAGAAAAAAACTCAGAAATGTTTAGATTAATCTCAGAAATTTTCCAGAAAACATCTTGGAAATTTCAATTTCAAAAGTCACAATTTTTTAATTTGGAATTTTTCTCATTTCCAAAGTCTTCTCAAATTCCAAAATGTCCTCTTTTTTTTCTATTTCTTTTTTTTTTTTTTAGGAAATTTCTGAAAAATTTCAGGGATATTTTTGACATTTTAAACTCAGAAATTTCAGAATATTTTATCTAGTAAACTTCTGAGATTAATCTAGAATATTTTCTACTTTTAATCTTGGAAATGTCCTCGTTTTTTCTAGAAAAATTCTGATTCTTAGATGGAAATTGACTCTTTTTTCCATTTAAACAGTTCTAACAAGCCAGAAACTTCCCTCCAGTCCTGTGATGAAACCTGCAGAAAGTTGATCAGTGACCTGCTGCAGAGCTTTCTGGGAGATGACGTCTGACTGCAGGCGGGAAGAAAGATGCAAAGTGGAGAAAAAGATAAAAATAACCATCTTAAATATTGTGCTTTTTTTAAACTATCTCCCTTTGATCAGATAAATGCAATAATTAAAATGTCTCAACCAAAAACAGATTCTAGATTACAGAGTATTTAACAACAGGTGTTGTGTTCATCTGCCAAATGTCGGCTGTAATATTTGAATTAGCTAAATCTGTGGGCCTGTCAGGTTCTGGTAAACTGCTCAATAAACTAAAATCACAGGTGGAGTTCCTCAGGGAACCACCAACGGTCCACTTTTATTTACTACTTCATTCAAACCACAGGTCTTTCTGATTTCTTGTTTTTAATTTTTTTTGTGGTCGTTCATACAACTAATTAAACTGAACGGAAATCAGACTTCATTGTGACTGAATTTTATCCAGCACGTCTCAAGTCCATTTATCACGTTGGATAAAATTTGACATGATCGTTCAGGATGCAAACGCCTTGAAAACGATCCTCCCAAAAATCCTCAGATTGGATTTTTGGGAGGGTAAACGGGTCGGATTCAGGCCGACTGCTGTGAAAACAGCGGATATGAGTTGCATTAGCCTGCTGGGTGAACGTAGCTTCAATGCTCTTCTGTCAGAATTGAACAGCCAACATGTTTCTCTGCTGATGACATACAACTTGATACCTTTATTTATGCAGCAGACCTCGCCTATTGACATATTTCGGGATACTTTTTTTCCAAATTACTCACAGAAGATGTATTTCTGTGAGTAATTTATGTCTTTTTGTGTTGAACTTCCTGCCGTGTGAATGCTGCTCAACAGATAAATGAATCTCTTGTGACCAGGACAGGAGCCGGTTTCATGCAGCACACGCTGCATTCGGACGTGCCGTTTGCAAACGGTTTTATCTCCAGAACATTCTGGGATAATCGCCTCAGCAGGTCGTCTAAAGCTGGTTTGGCTTCTAATGAGTCGGTAAATTCAGTTTATTAAGGGGCAAGTTTCTCCAGCAGGGGCTCAAACGTCCCAAACAAAACGAGAGCAAATCAAACAGAATGAAGGAAATAAACGTCCAGTTTCCTCCGCAGAGCATCAGACATCAGGTAGAGCTGGAATAATTTATTCTCCATGGTTGTTTCAGGTCAAACACACCTGGATGGATATATTTTATTATAATTCTTGATTATAAGATAAAAAAATCTATAAAAAAGCAGAAAGTCTCATTTTTGCAGCAGACTTGAGTCCTTTGTATGTTTCCACCCTGAAACAAACCGGGTTTTAAAAAGTCCCGGTTTGGATCTCAGATCTCATTTCTCAGGAACCAGGAGGATGAATCCGTCTTTGCTCTTCTTGAAGTCCGCCACGTTCTGACCCGGTTTGGTTTCCACCGTCACGTTCTTGGGTTTCCCTCGCATGTGCAGCTGCAGCGCCGAGCGGCAGACCTTCACGGGAAGCAGAGCTTTTCTGATGCTGGGAGAAAAAAAACACAAAACTCCGTCTGTTAATCAGGAAACTGGAGATTCACATCACAGAGTCACTTAAAACACAAAACATCAACCGATCAAAAACTGTGTAGGACAGAAAACGGCTTCAGTACGACGGCGTGTTAGATGACTGCTGACTGCTTTCCTTATAAACTCTTTATGAATTCATGACATTCTCTCATGTTGTTGGTGTCTCTGAATACGATCCAAACTTCAGACTCCAATCAACTTCTCCCACTAAACATCACAGATTTAATCTCTGAAATTTCTCCATGAACTGATTGAAACGTTATTTTCCTGTCAGATTCTGACCAGAAGCTGAGCTGCTATTCGTGGCCACCTGAGTGTTTCTGAGAAAGTAACCGATCTGCTGCTGGTTTGGGTTTTTAAGCCAACTTGGCAAACATGGCAGCAGGCGGCTGATGAGTCAAATCAAAGTGTTTCTCGTCTCCCTCTCCCCCGGACGGACCGATTGGACCCGACTCCTCTCTGGAAGTTGGAATTAAAGTCCAACGTTTGGAAGATGAATTAGATTTCTGCAGATTACATAATTATAGATGTTATGCAACGGGTTTGGCATCCAGCTTCACCAGGTGAGTGCGTCACAGGAAAACATGTGAGAGGATTCTGGCTTCGTTTCATCCATTACTGCCTGCTAAGGCGGTGGAGTTTACTCAAAAACAGCCTCGGCTGCAACAAGAAACGCTGCAGTAGTTGGTGTCAGGTAATATTTTTCTGAAGAAATCCTCATTTTTTGTGAACTTCCTTCTGAGAAATGTCATTTTAAAAGGTGCTGAATTCATAGTTTCTATTTAAATTAATTAGAAACAGAATAATTCAAAGTCTTTAATCTAATTTGTCCAATAAGACACAACTTTAAGATACCACAAGTACTGTAAGTCCATTATTACCCCAACAATCCCCAATCAGGCCCAGCTTCATTCCTAAGGCTGTTTTCCTTCATGATGGTCGCGTAAACTTGGTTTGATTGGGATAAAACTTCAACATTTTGTACATTTTGAGCTGCTGTGGTTCTTTCTCTGTTCCCCTCCTGGCCTGTGGGGGCGCTGCACCAAGAACCACTGAAGGAAACGACACAAAACACTGAGAGCAACTTCCTTCTTCACAAAATGGAAACAAGATGGAGGCGTCAGATTTTAGCGGCTGGAGGATTTCTCTTTAGTCTTTGGCTAAAGACCAGGAGACATTTCTGCTGCTAGTGCTAGGCTAGCATGTTAGCTTTGGTTGTATTTACCCAGAATGCCCTGCTCTGTAGTCCACTTCCTGCTTCTGAAGCGGTCTCCGGTCCGCTTGGCGTTCATGCATACATTCAAACCGAACCAGAGTTCACTTCAACCAAAACCAGACCGAGGGTTGGACCAGAATTGGCTTTTTTGGTCCGTTCCATCTTCAGCGATTTCTGAAGATTGGTTTCTACAACATAGATCAGGGCACAAACTCACAGGATGGCAGAGAAGAGCAGCTAGCTGGGAGACGGCTGCCTTGCTCTAAACTGCACCCAGGATCTGGCTGTGCTGGTTGCTGAGAGACCAAAACAAAAAGTTCGTCATATGCGACGCATATCCATCTTCATCACAGCACTCTCTATGGCCCAATTCCATCTTTTCAACAGAAAAAAACATCAATCTGTGCCTCGTCCATATGTGGAATTAAATTGTATTCAATTGTTTTCAAAGTGTCTTCAGTCTGAATGTTCAGACGTTTTATGTCGATGTGAGAAATGCGTCATAATTCTGCAGCAGAAGAGGCCAGACAGTAAATCTAAACAATGGCTGGTAATGATAATACGAAGTGATGAAAGCAGTCAGTGAACGCATCACATCCCAACCCCACCACTCCTGGTCCAACTCCACAGCCAAGCAGAACCGGGTCAGAAGCTGCTGTCAGCTTTCTGTTAACCAGCTTCCTTCGTCTGCTGACCATCTGGTGGCCATGCTGTCACTCTCTGCAACTTTAAATCCATCCAGGGACGGCAGTGGCGCTCTCCACTGCTGCAGACACAGCTCTGCTAGATGGCATCTACGGTCGTCTGCGGCGAATGAGAGTCGCTTTGGGTCCAAATTAGTAGCATGAACGACCAAGCAAAAAATAAAAGTGGGAGTTGCTCATCAGAACCTGCTGTGTGAATAAAGTTACCAAATAAAAGAGAGCTGAATGTGGTTCCTTGAGGAACGCCACATTTGATCTAAGTTTGCTCAGACACACCGACTGTTCACTGAACCATCTGCCAAAAAACACATGAATAAGCAAATTTTTCACAGAAAAATCCACAAATAAATGGGTATCCATTGCAACATTCAGTAATCAGTCTGTAGACATATTGGAGTTTTCAACAATATTAATTAATTTAAATGTCTTCCAGATATGGTGCAGATGCTCCACTGTGGTCAGAGGTTTCCTACTTGCATTGATCTTTGAAGGTAGAGAGTGTAAAGTGGTTTTCATCCAGTCTGAAGTGGTTCTTAGATACGTAGAAGCTTTCAGTCATACATGAATACACACAAAGCAGCTCAGAGTGACTGGTTCTCTGCATCAACGCATTGCAGAACCACAGGAGAGTCTTCAGTGTCGCACAATGGATAAACATCATGCAAGACTTAAAGGAGCAGCAGAGAAAATCAGAGTTAACCATCCTGAGAAGCAGAAGCCAAACGCTTCCTGTGTTTCATAATAATTATGCCATCACATGTTGGAGAGCAACACTGCAGATGAGAGACAACGCTTGTCATATTTACCAGAACAAGAGACAGATTGTTGGCAAATATGAGTTTTATTCAACTTCTGTGTTTAGAGGAATAACTGATGACGGCAGTTCAAACCCTCAGCCTGAAACCTTGGATTAAAATTCAGATGATCCCATTAGTGCGTCCTGATCGAGAACTTTAAAGGAGTTTGTTTTATGACAGAAACAAAGTCGAAGTTATTTCCTGGTTGGTCTTTTGGGTCGTTTCCTCATCGTTCCTTCAATCCAGCAGCTGAAGTTCAGTCAGGATGGACGGAGAGCATCCAGGCACCGCACGTTACTTTTCGGCTGTATTGAGGTTCAGACTTTGACTAGACCATTCTTTATTGGTTTAGCTTCAACCTAAATCATCCGTTTGATTCACCATCCCATCAAAAAAAGGTTTAGTTGAGACCAAACCACCAAATAAAAACTTTTATCCTCCAGTTTTTGGTAGGAGGATAAAAAGAGAGAAAAACGATAAATCAATGGAAATGACTGAGCTCGTTTTAATTTATCATGTGATTATTGATTTATTGTGATATATCTTGTTAGTGATTTGTTGTCCAGCCTCAGGTTAAAGCCTGGTACTGATTAGGAGAGATTTAATTTATGGAAGCAGATTTTATTGAGGGGTATCGTAATAAAGCTGCCCTAGTTTATTATTTGAAAATGTTTGTTTCTCTCCAGAGTTGAGTTCCCTGTAAATCTTGAGGACTCCTGACTTCGAAGCAGGTTGGGTTTTCAGGTTTATTTTTTGTCACTTTTCATGTTCAAACGGTTGCATCTGTCTTCTCTGATTTCAGACGGTGTGTGAGCGCAGCGGGAGTCGATGCTCCGACACGGCCGCCGCTCTGACAACCAGATCACTGGAGCAGGCGAAGCTGCAGACAGAACTGGGGCAAAGCAGCAACTCCTGCAGGAAACATCAAACCCGACCGACACCAGGAGGCGAAAAGTCGGGCAGAGTGGAGCATCTCACGCTGGAGAGAATCTCTGCTAGAACTGGTAGTTATTCCACACTGGGATGGTCATTATGCAGTTTATAATGACTGCATGAGAACCACTGGCCTTTGACCCAGTGGGTCGTTACGGCCCGGTTAGACACAAAACAGCCCTGGAGCCGCAGAGTCAACAGATAATTCATCCACCGAAATCAGAGGAGAGGAGAGAACCCACCGACCGAACTCAAGTAAAAGTTTAAAGTATCCGTCCAAGAAAAACTAAAAAAGTATTTGGTAAAAAGTCTGCTCAAGTACTGAGTAACTGATCAATCATTTAATATTTAAAAATGTCATCATCAGACAGAACAAAATGTAAAGTTATGTGGAAATGTTAAAATTTTAAGGAACAAATTGCAATAATTCATATAAGTAACAAAAAACAACAAAATTGGGCAAAAGAAAATGTTTCCAAATCAGTTTCTTTCAATAAAAAAACGTATGAAATGTTAACAAAGCTGCAGGTGTGAGTCTGTGTCTGGTGAGTTTTGGTTAAAACATGTTAGTTGTTCATTCAGTGGGAAGAAAATACAGAAATTTTACTCAAGTAAGAGCAGAAATACTTCACAATGAAATTACTCAAGAAAAAGTAAAAACTGTGGCGCAGTAAACAAACATTGAATATATTTGTCAAACGTCCAGAAGAAAGAATACAGCAGCTTGTAAATCCTGCAGCACTTTGTTTTCAGACAGTGACGACTACATCAAACTTTTATCGTCACTCAGAAAGGAAGCACAAACATACATCCTGACAGAAACTGAAACACTTGAAACATACGGCATGTTTCAGGTGTTTCAGTTTCTGTGTCTTGTCAGCTGTTGACCACTGTTAGCACCAAGCTAACGTCACCTAATATTAGCATCATGCGCTGGAATCGGTGGCGTCTCGGTCATTGATGACTCGGGATTTATTTCAAGGCCAGTCAAGACCTCAACTGTGGAAATATCATTAAACTGCCAGAATAATACATGCTAAATGTTAGCAAAGCTAGCTAGCTAATGTTAGCAAATTGTCTCGCTAACAAAATTCTTTACCCCGGCCTCACACAAACAGGTTTAGTCAATACTATCAATAAATATTAAGACACCAGTGTAGCGTATACACTATGTTTTAGGGAAGTATTCTCTGTTTCTTGTCAGCTGTTTGCCACTGTTAGCTAGAGCACCAAGCTAACGTTACCCAATATTTGCATCACGCGCTGGAATTGGTCTCAGCCCTAAAAGCTTTGGTCTCATTGCTCT